ATGTTGGCACAGGAATCAAAGCAGGGTAGAAGGTCTGTCACAATACATGATTTTAAAACTAGAAGAACAAGGGGATCGATGCTTTTTTAGTATACGTTTTGCCTTATAGATGGAGACAAAGAGGAGGGGAAAAGACAGTGTTTAGAAGGAAGAAAATGTGTTTATCTCTCACATAAGAAACATCTCCTCATATAACAACAAGGAGAATAATATTACCTTTGTGCTCTACTAAATAATCAGAGCAACAATTGCAAACACAATTGGACTTTCAAGCAAGAATGAGATGAAAATGCCAAATCTACCACAGCAGCTCAACAGCACCAGCACCTGGTAACGCTGTCTCTTTCTGTTTGCAAATGAGCGTTTGTCTAGCTTTATGTAGAGCGTTTATATCTAATCCTGTCAATTTGGATTGTAGATACTGCATTTTCCTAGAATTAAAGCAACTCCCCTTATAACTTCTGAGAGATTATTAGGTGTGATTTTCAAAAATATTGAGCTTTTATAGTATAATTCCTTTTGACTTGACTGAGAGCTAAACTAGTTGAGGATCAGGCATATCTGAAAATCATATCCACCTTTTTGAAGAAACAAAGTGCATTTTGTATTGACATAATAGTACATCTTATTCCAAGTTTTTCACAAACGGTTGGAAGATAAGTTTCATATCATGCCTAAAAAGCATGTATTTAGCATATTCAAGCAACAAAATAGTAATCCAGAAAAAAAAATAAATGTCTTTTCCCAACTCCTTGCTCTCTTTTGCCTTTACTCCACTCAGTCTGTCCAAGATTGTACATCCAATGACCTTCCTGTATCAAATATCTGTAGCTTCTGTTCCCTCCTTAGTCGTCATTTAGCCTCTTCTGACACCACCTGACCCGTATACTAAAATCCTTGTTCATTTTCTTCTCGTTCTTATCCTTTTGGTGCCTCCTTTTCTTTCAGGGTTTCATTCAGACCATGCAGCTTTTGCCCCTTGTCATGGGCAGAATTTGCAGTCTTCTTCTTTCATTATACAAATTCAAATATTGATCTAGTTCTCCAGATCCACTTCAGTGAATGCAGTGCTCTTTAAAAGCATTGTTAGTAAAGCATCTGTGTATCTTGAGTGCAAATCTTTCAATTTAAAATTAGAAAAAGCCCAGATAAATTGTTGGGAAAAGGATGTGAATTGCTTTGCTTATTTCAACTGCAAATATTTCAACTCAGAACATTGACATACAAAAAATATTATCACAGTTTTGTTTGCACCACATACAAAAGCATTTCTGAAAGCCTAGGAGACTCGGGGACTTTTTCTTCCTTGCCCAAGTGTCTGCATACTTGATATTTTAGGGGGAATAAAAGACCTTCCCAGATCTGTTATAAAAACATTTTGGCAGAAATTTTTTTTTCTTTTTTTTCTTTTTTTTTTTCCCATGGAATTTTGAAGTTTGCTGTTTGTGGCATTATAATTATATTCAAGATTTAGTTAGTCTTTAGCACTTAAAAATATCAGCTGCCTTTCAAGTCTTTCTGTTCACAGCTATTCTTTGTGGTATATCCTACAGGGATACCTGTTGTGACTCTGGTTCTGAGAAGTCAACGGTGAGCGCTCCTAATCTCCTCTGCTCAGAGACAGAACCATTTCTGTCATGACAGAATGGCCCTGCTTCTGATTCATTATCAGCTTTTATAAAGGTTTGCAACTTGTTGGTGCTTCTACTGCATGGGCCTGAAGTCTCATCCTGTAGTCTTACTGGAGAACTGGCAAGAGACGTCTTCTCTTTCTGTGCTTTCTGGAACGAAGTCTTCCTATGCTACTTCTTCTCAACAATGCAGGGGCTTTGAAGGTTTTTCCCAGAAGGAGCAACGTAAAGAGAGAAAAAAAAAAAGATCAGGCTTCTTCTTGACCCCATATGGGCCAATATGCCCAGACACATAATCAGTCTCCATTTCTCTGTTGTCAGTTCCTGTTGTTAGTGATACTTTCATTGCTATTCAGAAGTTTGCTTCTCAAGCACAAATGCCTCACGGTGGTCTTATGAACTACAGTAAACTCTGACCTTTTGAATATAAAACAGCTTTATGAAGCAGGGAAGAGACTGCAGCCTCCATCTGCGGCAAAGCAACACTCCAACCCACAATGGGAACAAAGGACATGATATTTCCTCTGTGTATGTTCATAAGAGCAAGAAGGACAGGTGGGCTATCAACCTCTGCTTCTCCTCAGGAGGTTCAGTACGTGGAAGGAGGCATTTTCTGCCAAGTTTGAGTCTGTCAGGTAAGGAATTGGCAATGACCTTCAATTTCTGAAAGATCTTCTGGGCACCTATTATCCCTTGGAAACAACCTCACCACCCACTCCTTTATGGGAAAATTAAAATGCTTTTTGGATCCAGATGATTGCTTGACTCTTTTTTCTGATAAAAAAAAAGAATTAGGAGTACCCTAGAAAGAGATAGTAATACCAGGAGAAACCTGCTGCTTCTGCTGTGGGAAGTTCTCTTTCACTTATCTGACAACAAAAACAAGAATGTCAGAAGTGGCTTTTCTTTAGAAAAATGTCCCAGTTCTGCCCAAAGGGACAATTTACATCCAAAGGCCAGCTAGCCAGCCCCGAATATAATTTTACCAAACTGTTACACTTACATCTATTTTTAGACACAAATCCTTTGATGAGCTCAGTGAGGTTTTAAATGATGGAAAAGGTCCATCTATGGGAGTCTACTTATAAGAAAAGAGGCCTAACTTGAAAATACAGCACCTGCCACCTCAATGTAGTGTTGGATGGTTGGTGAAGTTTGGAAAGCAAGTTTTGTGGAACATCAGGACTAGCTTTTCAGATAATGACTCTCCATCTCCAGCTGACATCAGCTGGAATTCCTTGTTCTTGAGACTTCTGAGAAGTAGAGCTTTTACGCCTTGCTTTACATATCACACATTTCAGAATTGCTTCCCAGGGAAGCTGCGTGCTTTCTGTAAAAAGAAAAAGTCTACTGCAACTTTTACTCAATTTCAATATTTGTCAAAAAAAGTAGTCTTCTTTCTCCAAATAACTAAGTTAAAGTTTGCAGCCAAAGTTTGACATTTTGAATTTAATGTAGTCAAAGTGCACAGGAAAACTTGCACATAATTTAGACATCAAAAGCACTTGTTTAAAAAGGAAGAGCAAGTTTAATTGAGCATACAGCCATGTCAACTTGTCACTCCTGGAGCAGGTAGTGTCAGCAGACTGGGGCTGTGGATGTCTGACTAAATCCTGAATTTTCAGGGGAAAGGAACTAATCCAGCATTTTTCTGACACCTAATGACCCAATGGACAATGGAGGACATTTGGGATTCACAGTATGTTCAAGCCTGGAGAGACATGAGGGAAGAAATTGTAAAGTTTTGTCCCTTTGATTTCTTCAAACTGAAAAGTATTGGCTTAGATGAGTATAGGGAAGAGAAAGAAGCCCAGATCAACTCAGTATTTTGACTTTTGTCAGAACCATGCAATTGGATTTCTGTAGGCTGACTTTCTGTAGGGTCATAGTTAACCCGAAAGCAATGGTTTACACTGTGCTAAACAAATATGGCTGAGCAGGACTGGCTGCAGAAATCAGAGCCTCAGTTAAAAGGCAAGGATCAAAAATACTCATCAAACACAGTATATGTTTTGGATGAATGGAGGATACTGGATTTCACAGTGACTCCCACTGTAAAGGGTAGAGCATAGCTTTGCCAAAAAGACCTGGGTGGAGTGATGGATGACAGCTGGACGTGAGCCTGCAGTGTGCCCTCACATCCCAGAAAACCAGCTGTATCCTGGCCTGTATCAAAAGAAGTGTGGCCAGCAGGTCAGGGAGCTGATCCTGCTCCTCTGCTCTGTGTTATGAGGCCTCACCTGGAGTACCGTGTCCAGACATGGAGTCCTCAGTACACGGTAGACATTGACCTGTTTGAGCACCTCCAGAGGAGGGTCACAAAAATGATCCAAGAGATGGAACAGCTCTCCTACAAGGACAGGCTGAGAGAGCTGGGACTGTTCAGCCTGGAGAAGAGAGGGCTCTGCAGAGACCCTAGCTGCAGCCTTTCAGTACCTAAAAGGGGGCTGTAAGAAAGAAGGGGACAGACTCTTTAACAGAGTCTGCATTGATAGAACCAGGGGAAATGGTTTCAAGCTAAAAGAGGGAGACTGAGACTGCATATAAGGAGGAAGCATTTTTACAATAAAGGCGGCTGCCCAGAGAGGTGGTGGATGTCCTGTCTCTGGAGAAAGTCGAGGTCAGGCTGAATGGGCTGTGAGCTCCACATTGAGCTGTAGGTGTCCCTGCTCCTTGCAGGGGAGCTGAACCAGATGACCTTTAATGGTCCCTTCCAACTCAAACAATTCTATGATTCTATAATTTGGTGATGATTTAATGAATATCTAAAACGGTGTAATGTACTTGTCAACATAATTGCATGATTGTATGATGATCCTGTTAAGCATTTACAATTTTTCCACTTTTTTCTTGTTGTTGTTTTGGGTAATGTTGGATTGTATTTTTAAGCAGCTATATGTGAATTACAAAGGAAAGAAACAGGTAAGAAAACTTATAATTCAAATACTGTCACGAACTGGCTTTTTAGACGTAAGCAGCTATGATAACTTTACTCCTTCCTTATATCTCTTTATAAACTAGACTTCATAATGGTAATGACAAAAGGAAGAGAAGCAAAATAGTCTCAAGAGAATTATGTGCATTTCTCAGTGCATTTCTCAGAAAATTATGCAATACAGATGGTTGAACACAGCACCATAGCTGTTGGATTTAAAAAAAAAGTGGGACCTCTTGGTCTTCCTGTAGTGAAAGATCAGCTAAACAAGGAAAGAGGAGCAATGAAAAGTCACAGAGAAGTGTGGTAGCTTGCTAAGACTGTTCAGTATAAGTCAGTAACAGAGCTGGAAAGAACCAAATAATTTTGACATTACAACTTAACGTGGCAGGCTGTTCCTGCTTCCTGGCAGTGGCACACTGCTTCCTGGTGTGCTTCCTCATCAACACATTCACAGCATGCTTACAAACCTTTTGTCCATGAGGTACCCTATTCTCCAGCATCTTGTGATACAGCTGCTGCTGCTGAAGGTAACCATTGTTTCTTTTCTGTAGAAGGCTCTGACTTTCCTTTTTCAGTCATCTCCTAAGAGTCATATGCCACATGGGAGCACCATTCCCCAAAAAGGGACAGATTAGTTTCATCACGCTCTTCCCACATGTTTCGTCCCACAGAGGCCAATGCAGATTCTCATTATGCCCCTGCCATAAGCTCCTGCATCCCTGGGGACAGCAGCAGTCTTGCAGGGAGTGGGTGGCAGTCCCAGGGCCCTGCCCTGTTCCCAGTCTGAAGGACACCTGGAAATGCAAAATAGCCCTACTGAGGACCTGCAGGGCAACATCCCTGAGAGTGGAGCCTCCATCCACTGTGGTGATATTACAGAACATTTCATGCTGCATGCTTATGAGGATACAACCTTACCACCATCAAGCAGCAAGTCACTGGGAGGGCTGCATGTTGGTGTGATTGCTTCTGTGGTGTATTGCAAATACACAAGATATGACATTACCAGCAAAAATGTGTTAACTTGGAAATCCTACCTAGGCTGGGCTTTTCTCAGTTCTATTAAAACATTTACATATTATTAAATACAATCACAAAATAACACACTAGTAGTTTTACTGTCAAATAAATACCTTGTAAATACAAGGATTTCTTACCACCATCACCATTACATTTATCTTTTGCTTAAATCCTTTCTCTCTAGAAATAATACAAATCAAGCCTCTGGGGCCTGTTTATGTAATGGGGATTTATGTCATTTCAAGACAAATGGCATTTGCTAAGTTTCAGGGAAACACCTGTATTAATTGTATTTCCTGCTCATGTGTTGCTTTTGTTTGCAAAAAAAGAATTCATCTCAGGTGAGTTAACCTTGCTTTTAGAAAGGGCACCTGCAGTTATCTTAGTGCTTATTGTAAATCAAAACATGTTGAGCCTTTAAAGCAGTGAAATAAAGAGGTGCTGACAAGAGGGTATGCCAATAGGATTAGGAGCTTTTCTCACTGCTTGTATTATCAGGATGGAGAATTGAGTCATGTTAAATTACAGGGGGAAGAGATATTCCCAGAAATTCCACAGATCAGAGATTGACTCTCTCCTTCAGTAAGCCTATGGATAGGAGGGGCATTCTGTGCTTGGTGAGATTAAGAAGGAGGAAAAAAAAAAAAAGAAGAGGAGAAAAAGACACCTCCCTTTTAGCCTTAGGCGTCTATAATTGACCAAGATTTTTCTGCTTGTGATTTGATCCATCCAAACCCTGTTAGAGGCACTTGCCCCCAACTGAGACCAAGGCTGAGGTGAATGAGAATTAGGTGACTCACTCATATGTACTATACGTGCATTCACATCTATTAGGATAAATGACATGTCATTCAATTTAAGCACAGGCAACTGGAGATTGTCATATTTTGAAAATGACAACTGTTATTTATTTATTGAGAATATTTATACAGGTTTTTCCTAGGTACGGAGAATGCATTTTTCAGCAGCGCAGAGATATGGGTGAATCAGGCAATTACACAAAAACCAGAGAGGAAGAGAAACAAAGCTGACAGTACCAGGCACAGGGGCTGGGTCAGCAGAGATGAATGGTGCTAAGCCACCAGAGTCATTAAGCTGACACTGCTCTGTGGTCATTTTAAAAGGACTGATCATGATGCTCTGACCCCTGCTCTATTAATACAGTATTGCAGCAAGCAGTTATGTTAGATGGAAACAGGCAACCATGATCTAGCCCAGTTTTCGAGAATGGAAAAACTGGGACTAGTCTGATGCTGATTTCCAGGATTTGGGGGCTAGGAGGAGATGGGAAGGTGAGGCTCACCTTCCCCTGTCCTCACCCCAACGCATCCTCCGCCCTGCAGCAAGGCTATAGGCTAGGGCTTCCTCCTCACCATTCCTGTTTAGATTAGGGTCATCTCTGCCTACCTCCGTTGCTGGTCAGAGAGCTACTTCTTTAGAAAAGCCATCATTGTTAGTGCCTTTCAAAAACACTACCAACTATGTTCTATCTCATTCTTAAATGCAGATAGCTCATCAAAAAGAAAGATAAGTAGATAGATGGATAGATGTACAGACCAACAGATGAAAAAGAAACATCTATGTGATTATAAAGAGACGACATTAACAAGGTGGATATGAGTTTCCCACTTTTATATGGGTACAAAACAGAACTGTTACATTTATGTCCAGTCTTTGGGACACCAAATTATCACTACAGCTCAATGGGATGCTCTCTAGAGTGGACACAAGGGACTGAGTTTAGTATTGATTTTTTTTCTCCTAGATGTGTTGGAAAACAAATATAATAATGACATTATGACATAATGCTTCTATCTTTCGGAATTGTTTTCTTTTTTTTCCTTTATTGATTGGAAATCTTTTGGGGTTTATTCCTCCGTAATTCTGACCTCCACACATTACACAGGAAGCTGGAGCACTCTGTATCTTCTATAAGTTCTGCTAATACTTAACTTTGTGTCTGATGGTTCCATTATGCAATGAAATGATTTACTGTGCGTCAAAAGATCGCAGTTGCCATAATCATCATCTTGTTTGGTGTTCTGAGTTAGGTCTATGTATTTTCAGAAGACTTGAGAGAAAGGTATGACAGCAGTGAGAATTGCTGAGTGCCCTCAAATAGGAGCCAAGGCCGATCAGCTGTTTGGAGGAGGAAGTCAAGCATTTACCTTGCAGCGTTAAACACGCTCTCCCCACTGAGAAGGCTGCCATCAAAGCACTGAGGCCAAAATTTTGTGCTGTGTGTTGACTGAAGTTAACTATCCAAACAAATAACCTATGCTTCTGCAACTCTTGCTAAGTCAAAGATGTGGACCCTCTGAAAATGAGTCAGGAGTTATATGACCAAAGGTACCTCTGGAACGGCTGCCTGGCTCTTAAACATTGCCCCATCTGTTTTCATGCTTTACATAACTAATTTTCCTGAGGATGTACTTTGCTGGGTTTGGCACCAAAACAGATAAGAAAAAACAAACCCAAGACAAGGGGCTGATTGAACTCCAGCAAACCCATTTTGTTTTCTCATATATTTTTCCAACCAAATACTTCAGAGAATGATTGAAGAGAGGATGAAAAAACAAGAAGCTGGATGATCAACTTTTTGTTCTAAACAGGAGCAAGCCACAGGTAGCAGAGAAGACAGCTCTGCTCCAGCTCACCAGGCAAAGAAGGAGCTGTGAAGGGATCAGTATGGCAAGGACAGGGCTGCAGGCCAGCATAACCTCTTCCACATCAAGTCCCTCAGCACATGGCATGGTACAAAATCAGGGGAATGCACAGCTACTCTCATCTGAATAACCTGCTTTTCTGGCTGGAGGCAGGATTTTTAATATTTTTCCAATTCAACTAGAACAATTTTTTTTCTTCAATGGCAAAGATGTAGTTGAGACCCGGGTAGCTTCATTCCACCTAAAGTGAGGTATTTCTCAATGTGTGGGAATGTATTTTTAGCCAAATTAGGAGAATTAATGACTATAATTGATTAAATCCTTCAAGGGGTGTTTCATTTGAGAAGGTAAGAGCATTTCCTAGAGGGAAAGCCTCATTAGGTTTGACTTTTCTAAATGGTTCTCTCTAGAGTTACAACAGGGAAGGAGGCTAGAATTAATCTGAAACTACAAAGATTTTCCTTCCCCTGACACTGCATTTTCCAGGGAATACACACACAGAGCAAGACCTGTTGGCTGCCTCCCTTTGGCCTGACAAAGAAATCCATGGAGGCTGCGTGCATGCACACTTTGGGGAAACAGCACCAGAGTGGAGCTTCTCATGCTGTTTCCAAAGGTTTCAGTAAGGATACTGCAATTAATGGAGTTAATATAAAAACAGTAGAAGTAGGCTGATGTTTGTTAATTGTGGGGCTAGCAGAAGTTATGTAGACTGTTCAAAAATCCGTTAAGTTCAATTGCTTGCAGCATTTACTGAAGATCAGCATCCTAAAATTATAAATTATCAGCACGCTCAGAAATACCAATTGCAACAGCAAAGGTGTTTCTGTTGAAGCAGAAGCCTCATTTACCAAGTGTAAAGGGCACTTACCTATGTGAACTCGAATTCCTTGTCCCATTCCTTATGTTTTTCTTCTTCATTAAACCCAATCATTGTCTTTTTCCAAGGGATGCTGGCCAAGGAAGGGATGCTATTTCACCAGCTCATTGAAAATTGTGTATTTCTTCTCTGATGTCCAAAAATCACACACAGTCTAGTTTGTCTCAGAAGCTGTGATCAAAAGAAAAGTGAAACCTGTGGAAATTCTTTCAAGAACGAGTGTTTGAATCTTTTGTATAGTCTTCAAGCAATAATTGATGAAGTTACCTTTAATGAATCATAGAATCACCAAGGCTGGAAAAGACCTCTAAGATCACCCAGTCCAACTATTTACCTATGACCAATACTCTCCAATAAACCATGGCCCTCCATAAAACACTGAGCATTTCTTGAACACTACCAGGGATGTGACTCCACCACCTCCCTGGGCAGCCTGTTCCAGTGCCATCCATTCTATGAATGTTTCAGGAAGACGTTCAAATTTAGTATCATTTCAGGAAATTTTTTTGCCTTACCAGGAAGCTGAGGAATACATACTCAATAGAATCCTAGAAAATCTATCGTTATTTTATTCTATTATGAACAATGTTTGAACACATACATACATACTTCTAGAAGTCATTAAATTCTCAGTAATTCACATTTGTTGCTCAGGCCATAAACTATACTCCACCCCCAAATAAACTCAAAAAATTCTTAAAAATTGAACTTCTGCTTATCCTTAACTGAGTTGCTTAGGCATTAAATTCCTCCCATCCTACCTGTGTCTTTGTGAAGTGATTACCTTAGCACCACCCAACTGTAATAATATCACACATCAATAATACTTAATCATCAGAGAAGGTAGACAAAGTTCGCATTCATGAAGCTCTATCTAAAAAAGAACAAAATCCTGTGTATTAAAGGATACATAAAACTCCATAAGAAAAGATTACATGTATGGCACATGCAGCTTCTTCTAGAAAAACTTGCTCTGATTTCTCTGTAGATCTTTTAGTAAAATCTATACCTTGGCTAATTAAAGACAGCAGCATCCTAGGTGGAGTCCAACAGGAGCGCAGCTGATCTTAAAACCTGATGCTCAGCACAAAGCAACCACCTGTCAATATTTCAATTACTGCCCTCCCCACCTGATCACACTTCAATTGTTTTCCAATAATTATTATAATCATCCACCACAAGGGCAACTGGTTGTTTCAGGGTTATAGGTGAGAGGCAAAGAAGAAAAAAGCACCCACCCTGCCGTTTGTATACCTATTTCCTCAGGGCAGCTCCTTATTTCAGCAGCTGCTGGTGAGGCACAAATCAGCCTTAGAGCCAAGCCTGGATGGCATGCATCCTGATTTCTGTTTTTTTGTTGGTATTGCTGTTGGTCTTAATTTGAGTCCTGCACATGACCAGCCGCTTTCTCTACTGGAAATAATTTCTCTAAATTAAAGGTTGCTGCAGTGTTTCAAGCCTGTCAAAGATCTCTTGTTGGACAGGCTCTTTTTTTTAAAAAAAAAAAAAAAAAGTAGGCAGAGTCTCAAATCTTAGCCCTGAGAGCCAGATTTCACTTGATGAAAGGATTGGAAAATCCTTTTCCGATCAGGATAATTTTCTGTTAGATTTCACGGGAAGAAAAGATTTCAGTTTAGTTTTCATTTGAGGGGAATGAATGGCTTGGATCTATTGTTGTTTTTGTGACATTATTTTTAGGAGAGGGGAAAAAAAAAAAAGCATTGAAAATCCTGACCCACCCTACCACAAACACAAAACCTCTGTCAGTGCTCTTGCTGGGATGGAAGCTAGCGCACAGGAAGCAGGAAACACGGAATATTTTTTACTTCATCTCCAACATTTTTGCACTGACTTCATGCCTGTGTGAATGTACCTAAACAAACAGAACTTCACCAAACCCATCTCTTTGAGCTGCTGTAAGTTTTGAAGCAATGTTACCAGGAACAAAATCCTGACAATTCAGATGAAGCCTGCTTGGTTTTCAGTGGAGTCAGGAGTTCACATTTAAGATAAAGATACTGTGGTGCTACATGTTGGATACTGCTAGTCAGCCCCAGTCATAACACTAATTGCTCTGCCTGGGGAAGGCAGTGAGATCATTACTCCATTATAAAATGCTATCATTTATAACTGAGTAGCAAAATAACACATGCTGGGATGGAAGGAAAGCAGAAAAAGTCTCTTCCACTTTGTAGCGCTTGCCCTGAATCTAGAGACCACAGAAAGGGAGAAAGGCACCACTTCTGTCACCTCAGGAAAGGCTTCAGCTTCGGGTGTAGCTGCAGCCTGGAAGCAAATAAACGCTTTGCTGTAAAGGGAACATGTGCTCAGTTGTATGGAGGATGCTGCAGAAAAAGCAGTTACAACCAGCCCAGCATGGGTGGGTGGGTGAATCCCTGCATCCTCAGCCTTGGGGAGGGGGACCAGCCAAGGCAGGTGGTGAGCCAGCACAGAGGAAAAAAACATCCAGAATAAGCAGATAAGATGATGATAAAATCAAAGCAATAATATAACTTGTGGAGGAGAATCCAGGCAGCAGTTAATTAGCAGAGAAGAGAATGCAGCTCTTAAAAGGCTGTGGAAGGGAATCCTCCTGGGACCGAAGGTGCCAGAGCCATAATTGTTTCTTCCCTTCATTTCTTCCTGAAAGAGCTCTTTCCCCTCTGGTGAGGTTTAGGATAACCTTGTTGTTTTGGTTGTAAGGTTGAAGTTTTCTCATATGACAGCCTGTCCTCTCTGCCATGTATACTTTGCTCTCAGAGACAGTAGTAAAATTCTTCAACCTGTCTTTCTCACCCTTACCTGGAGCTCAGCCTGTTTCTCTAGCTTGAACTTTGACAACATAGATTTCTCTCCACTTTTCTCTTCCGTTATTTGTTTCCTACCTTTCCATTACACAGGACCATAATCCAAACATGGTTTGTTGTTTGACTCCAATCCTTTGTGTGTTACAGGTGTTTAAAATCTGATGCCCCTTATTTTGGGGAGTTCAGTGCTTAGACCTAACAGCTGCTGTCAGGATCAAAGGAGAAACGGTTATCCCAGATTTCTGAGAAATCTGAGCCATTGATAATCTAAAGTCAGGCAACCTAAAACTGCAGTGCCTGAACCTAAAGGAATTTTCTACGAATGTGTAAGTTGTTGGGTTTTTTTCTGAGAGGTGAGTGAGATCCCTCTTTAGACTCACTGTTCAGTAAGAATAAGGTGCTGGGATGCTTTGGAAAACTGAACTTAATCTCCCGCCCTTCTGCAGTGTATGCCCAAAGTGATCAACTCACTGAGCACAAGCAGTACTTTTTGGTAACATGTTGTCCATATAGATGAGTGGGAGCAGACCACCACTACAGTACTTTTAACACACACCATCACTTAAAGTAGTCCTCCGTGTGTCAGCTGATAGCCTAAAACTGGCTCCTGGCTTTTACCAAGTGTTCTGCTTTATTTCTTTTGTAGGATTAGTCAACAAACACTGGCAAGTAGCAACATAATATTTTTAAATGAAACTATGTACAAATTCCTGTCCAGAAACATGTATAATTGATTGCTGAGGTCAGGACCTGCACGGATGGTGGCAGGCCACTGCAGAGCTGACTATAGGAAAAACAATTCCAAAGTTCTCTTGGCAGCACACAAACAGCACGTGGTAGCCTATCCACTTTTCTCTTGCTCAATTTACATTGTTCCTATTTTTAATGCATATCTCTGAAAAATACAATTATATCAATATTGTATTTATATCAGTTGACATGTGAAATCTGGATTTCCTTACATAAATTGTGTAATTTTGTGAAGTGGTGCATTTATCAGAAGTTGTTTAAGGTAATACCATTAATTTGTGAAGTTAACACACATCGCACGGTAAACACATTCCAGCCCTTGTTGATTTGCAGTGTGCAAATAGACCATCAGGAAGATTTACCACAATCCATTTGTCATTTACCATAATGGATGATAATTCTCTCCCATTGCCGCCCCTTTCCTGCTCTGCCGCCCTACACTTCTCACCTGACCTCTGTTCGCCCACTGTTGTCTACTCTGAACCATTTTTAAGTTTTTCTCTACTTTTCTTCCGCTCATCTGAACTCCTGCTAAGTGACGCTGTTCAACTGAGCCATCCTCTGAATTGTTCTCTCTTTGATCACTTCAAATTGGTCCACACTTTGCACCAGTTCTGGTTTAAAATTAGGCAGCAACTTAAGTGCTTTGCTGAACTTATTTGTCCTGTATGTAATTCTGTTTAATCTTCTCCCTGCCTTACGATCTCCTCTCACTGCTGTGCAGTGATTAGTGCTGTTATCTTCTCATACAGGCTCCTTTAGCAGTACCAGTTTTGAAGTTTCTGTTCTTGAGCTGGTGGGAAGAAGTCATTAGCTTGTTGTCTACCATTTACTCCTGGTTGCCAATAAGCTGTTCCTACAAACCAAGGGTCAAAAGCTGCTCTAAAGTGCAGCTGCTAAACCCCAGCTCTGGCAACAGCAATCTGCACTTCCACCACACCACTGTGCCCAAATGCACACCCAGCCATGGGGTAATGGCACAGAGACACAGCTTCCAGTGAGATGAAGCTCCAAGGACTGAAACTAATAGCTATCATGAAAGCTAACAAAATTGTATCAAAGCCCAAAGCATTGCTCTTGCTGCTTAGGCCTTTCATCCCACACTCCCAGAATACATTAGAAACATCAAGCAAGACACTTTCCACAAATGTTGCTTCACACTCCAAGATTTCCACCTCTTATGCTACCCACCACTCCTACAGCTTTGACTTTTTCCCCTCGCTTTTTCCAGAACTCCATTTGTTCCAGAGCTTACACACACTCTCTCTATCCCTTTCCCTTTGCGTTACAAGTCGTGATTTTGGTCACTATCTCTTGGCTTCTTCTCTCCCCCACAGGTTCCCCACCATTGGCCATTTCCTTCAGCAGCCTTCTGGCCACTACTGCGCAGCTTGCACCACTGTTTGCATTACTCTTCCCACATCCTCACTCTCCCCACAGGGCCAGGGCCTCACCCCGATGCTTCTCAACACTCACCCAGGGGGCTCCCATCCCATGGGGATGAGCAGGGGCTGAACATTTCCATTGCGGGCAACCCACTTAACTTCACTCGCTATTAGGGCAAGCAAATTTCCCTGAATAGCGAAGGCGCTGAGATGCTGGTTCCTATAGCAACTGTATCCAGGTGAAAACTCCTGCAGCAGCTCCCCTTCCCCCTTCCTGCTCCCCATGTCTCCTTTCTTTTCAGTGGCTTTTCATGGCAGGGGGTGAGCGAGAAGGGATGCTAACCAGGCAATTTAACCATCTCGGGTTACCCACACGTTAAGTGCTCGCGCTGGGGAGCACACCGTGTGCCCACGCATCCCTCGTTGGTGAGCCAGGTGTCAGTGACCGTGAATGATCAATAAATACGGACTGGGGGACACCTTCATTTTGTGAAAGGAGCATATCAATTGATTTTTAAAGCTTTGCGAAGATGTTCATCTGCCACCTTCCTTCTGTTGTACTCATCTTCCAGGTCTTTCTACGCATCCAATGGCCTTGTTGCAGAAATTGCCACCTCCTTCCGCAGCAAAATTATAATGGACTGCAAAGCGAGAGAGTTAAAAAGCTTTCCTGAATGCTAGAAGAATATTCTCCAGAATAAGTTACTACAGCATCCAAGAGGGAAAAATGTAGGCATTACCTCCCTGCTGTGAAGAGACTGTGCGTAGATCTTCACCTGGAAACCTGAAACAGCTCAAATGATGGGCATGTGGCCATGCACTGGGTTCCCCCTTCAGGTGTGCCCATCCTACAGCATGCGGGTGGACTGTGGGTTAGCCTGAGCTCAACCTACAAAGTTGATAAGGTAAGCTTAGAGCAGCATCTTTAGCTAATCAAGAGGACTTTGCTGGGGAGGCACTCTGAGAGTGTCCACTTCGGCACCAGAGCTAGGGTAGAGCATTCAGCCATGCAGCATGGCAATGGGCAGCTCTCAGGGTGGATCACAGAAAAATGACTTCACAGTAAAGTATCTATCTATAGCCAGCTGCACTCAACGTGATGGCATAACTCAGAAAGCACTGAGTAAAAAACAAAATCAAAGTAAGAAGGAGATAGCTCATTGTTTATAACAAATCTC